GCTGCCGCTCGCTGCGCTGCGTTTACCGGGGCTTCGGGGTGCTGGGGTGGGAGGGAAGTGCCACCAAGGCCTCGGTGCTGGTGTGCCCGGAGTGTCACCTGCCCTCGAGCCAAGTCTTGGCACTGCCGCGTCCAACAGCAGCGCTCCTGGCTTGTGTGTGTTAGTGCAGACGCGATACGTCAACGTGGGCACAATATATTAGAGGGAAACGTAGGGTTTCTGCAGGCCGGTGGCCATCTTGTGAAGCAGCCGGGGCTCTGAGCAGGGGCGGCGAAAGGGCAAGAGCAGAACCGCGTGACAGGGAAACGAGGAAGTTGGCGGAAGGGATAGGAAGGGAGAGCTCGCAGATAAACAAGGCAGGGGGGTTGGATCACGTACGGTCGTGTCCGTGGTGGCCGTGACTCCTGCGTCACTTGGTGCCCGAACAGGGACCCGAGCGCTTCCCGGAGCGACTACGAGCGGCGATCTGCGAAGGGGCAGGAGCCACGCCGAGGAGGTGAATGCGTGCGTAGCAAAGGAACCTCGCCGAAGAGAGGTGAGCGGCCGGGGAGGAGATGGGGTCCACGCTGAGTTCGGGAGAAGAGGCAGTGGTTAAGCTCCTCCAGCATATCCTTTCTACGAGAGGACTTACATGTGACAAAGGCACCTTAGAAAAGCTACTGGTGTGGATCCAGGAAAGGCAACTGATTCCCACGGTGGATGCTGCTTTCGAGCTGTCTACCTGGGACAGAATAGGGATGGAACTGTGGGAAGAGGTTAGCAGAGGGTCGCGGGATGCCGTCAAGCTGGCCACCGGGTGGCGATTGATTAAACAAGTGCTGAAGGACATGGGAGCCGAACGCGCTGCGGCCGCGTCGGTGCTCGTGGAGACCAGCCCGTCGTGTCCGGGCGGAGGAGCAGCGGCGGCCGGGGCTCCACCACCAAACCCGGTCGGGGGGGGACCGTCGTGTCCGGGCGGAGGAGCAGCGGCGGCCGGGACTCCATCACGAACCCTGTTCGAGGGAGCACGGCCGCCCTCGGTGAAGAAGTCTTCGAGCGGAGCCCCTGCCTCGGCGGCCCGTCCTAAGGGGGCTGCAGGTTTAGACCACGGTGCGGTGAGCACTTCACCGTCTGACCAGGCAGACCCCAGCCCCGAGCGGGGCGAGCAGTCGGCTGCTGCGCCCAAACTATGTCCATCTTTACCGTCGTCCACACCTCCGTCGCCTGCGTCGCCGGCCCCCGAACGTCGTGCAGCATCTTCAGTCCTCACCAAGGGAGCCTCCGGGTCTTCGCCTGCCTTGGATCTACGGGAGCTGTCTCAACGACTGCAGGAATTGGAGGCAAAAGTGAACTCGGGGGTGACGCGTGGTCCCTCGCGCCCCCCTGATTTTCCTCGTCCTGTACCACCTCCGTGCGGGGGCATGACCGGGGGGCTGGGGGGGAATGACCCGGTTACTAGATGGAGGAGAATTATACGTGATGCCGTTGTTGAAGGGGCCCTTACTGATGTCATGGCGATCCCGGCGTTTACTGACGCTCAGGGAAATGACCATTGGGAGGCTTTAAATTGGAAGATAGTGAAGGAGCTTAAGTCAGCAGTCACGCAATATGGGTTAAAGTCTGCCTATACCGCTTTGGTTATCCAGCAGATATTCTCCGCTCATACCTTTACCCCCTATGATGCTGGTATGCTAATTCAAACTATTTTACCCCTGTCGCAGCAGTTGCAGTTTGTGGATGAGTGGAAAAACCTCTGCGACGCGGCGGTTGCTGTCCAACGGCAGCAGAATGATCCTTTGTTCGGGGTCACCACAGAGATGCTTATGGGCACCAGTCCCTTTTGCAACGCGGAGCGGCAGGCACGTCTCCGGGTTGAGGCTCTGCGCCTCTCTCTGGAACTGGCTCTCAAGGCTCTTTTAGCTGTGCATGACGAAAAAGTTGCGCCAGCGTTTATGAGTATTCGGCAGGGACCGACTGAGCCCTATAGTCAGTTCATCGACCGCTTGCGTGCGGCGATCTCGTCCCATCCGGACCTGGGGAGTGAAATGCAGGAGATGTTTTTGCATATGTTAGCCTTTGATAACGCCAATGAAAAGACCAAGAAGGCACTTAGCTTATTGCCACTTGGATCGACCACGGCGCAGATGCTGGAGGCAGCTGAGCAAATGCTGGAGCAGGAAAGGGCTGCGTATATCGCCGCTGAGGTCGCAGCAGCTCTGCGCCCGCTGATCCGCGCTCTAAAACAAAAAGGGCGAAAGCGGGACAAGAAATGTTTTAACTGTGGCAAGATAGGTCATTTTCGAGCTCAATGTTGGCAGTTGCCGGAGTCGCAGGCGCCACGGCAGCGTTCACAATTCCCTGCCAAGTGGTGCGACCACTGCAACAAGAGCTCTCATAATACCTGGGAATGCAGAAGGAAGGGAACCAAGGGGCCGAGCACGACTCGCCCACGCGCGACGACACAAGGTCAGGGTGCTTGGAACGCCACTGCGCCGCCACACGGGGAAGCGCAGGAGTGGCAACAGCAGTGATGTCACCCTGCCGGGTACCAGTGTCCATGTCATAGAATCAGAGCTGGACATGGGTGAAGAATTCTGCTGATCCCTGTCCGGAACCCCAAGAGGTAGATCTCCTTGGCTCAGTTCAAATGGACTGGTGTGCCTTGTTCAACTACACCGGCAGTTCACCTCCCCAGGATGTGTCACCAGTCGGGCACATTTACCAAAACACGTCTTATTGGCATAACAATGATACAAGTCGGGGAGAGTTCTACCCCAAGGGGACTCCCACGAGGAGCATTTCTAATATGCAGGGGTCGGGCATGGCCAGGAGTCCCATCCCAGGCTCATGGGGGTCCATGCTCGATCGGCAGACTAACCTTATTAACCCTAATCTTACCACGATCCTGCAACACGCCAGAAAAGCTCGCCTAGCACAAAGCATCCATACCTTCCTGGGGAGATGTGATGATGCTGTGTGATTCTGGAGCCCCGCAGAAATTATTGCTGCATCTTTTTTTGCTCCAGGAGTTTCTGCTGCCGCTGCTCATGCGAAACTCGCAAGGCCTGGATGCTGGCTGGCAAAACAAACTAATGCTACAACGCTTGCTTTAGCGGGGCTTTTGGCTCACATCAATTCGCCAAGCCACGTTACAGAATAGGGCGGCCATAGAGTTTTTGCTTCTAGCACACGGACACGGCTGCCAGGATTTTGATGGGTTGTGTTGTATGAATTTGTCTGGTCACAGTAGGTCGATACACAAGAGTACTCAGATGTTGGAAGACGGAGTGCAAAGGCTGCAAGAGTCGGATAGAATGACTATCCTCGCTGCTAACAAGCAGGGGTCTAAGGGGTTGGATACAATCACTCATCAAAATGCGTTTGTTAATTCTGTTAATTCTTCTCTGTGTTATGATTATCGTTCCTTGCTTGGTGGGATGTCCGAGACGAATGGTAGACAAAGCAATTAAGGGCATTTTTCTAGTGCAAAGCAAGGAGTTCTGGCTTGCTCAAAAACTGTAGGGTTTCTGCAGGCTGGTGGCCGTCTTGTGCAGCAGCCAGGACTCAGCAGGGGCGAGGAAAGGACAAGAGCAGAACCGTGTGACAGGGAAACGAGGAGGTTGGCTGAAGGGATAGGAAGGGAGAGCTCGCAGATAAACAAGGCAGAGGGCTTGGATCACATACACACGGACAGCGCTGGGTAGCCCACCACTGTGTTTAGTTAGACATGTGCTCAGCGGGCTATAACCAATCACTGTAATCAGACGGCCGCGTGCTCGGGGAAGCAACGTATATAAGTGCATGTAAAAGCTCAAATAAACTGGCACTGCTTGATCATATGGACCGTGTCCGTGGTGTCCGTGACTCCCGCGTCAGAGAAGGGGTGAGGGACCCGGGCAGGGATGGCCCTAAGGGCCACTCGGCCTCTGCGCAGCCCCGGGGAGCGTCGGGGAGGACAAGGCACCAGCTTCCCGGCGCTGCCCCGTGAGGGCTCCCCAGGGGTTCATTACGCCAGCAAATGGTGTCGATTTAGGCAGGGACATGATCAAGGCTGCTCTAAGCAGGCCCAAGCAGTTCCCTTTTTCCTTTTTCTTGGAAGCAAATGGTGCTTCCCTGAAGGACAACCCGCAAACACCGCGCGAAGCTGCACCCCGGAGCGCCTGGAGCCGGACGCCTCGGTGCCTCTTGGGCGGGTGCGCGTTGGAGGACAACACCAGGGCTCCTTCTGGGAGGCGGCTTTCCCTTCCCTCTGGAAAGCGATGGTTTCACCGCTTCCATGGCACACCAAACCATTTCTAATAGCGGAGCACTCGAGCACGTTCCCACATGTGCCCAAACTGAGAAGCCCAGAGGCTACCAACAAGCTGCTGACCAGCGGCCTTCACGGGGCAGCGTCGTGGGCTGCCTGCTCAACCCACGGGGCAGCATCCAAGATCGCCTCTGCTCGTCCTTACTCCTCCAGTGTTTTAACAATATTTAGGTAGCTCAATGCTTATTGAGTGGAATTCCAATTACTTTTATCCTTATTCAAAAACTTAGTTTTTTTGTTTGTTTGTTTTTCCTTCCCATTCCTATCACTGCGACAGAGCTGCAAAGAAAGTAGAGCACAAATCCATAGTCTTTATTTGTTCAGCTTCTTAATAAAATGTATATTTACACAAAATTGAAGTTATTTTTCTTTCTTCTTCCCAGCATGATGTAGATTTTCTTTGCCCAGAGTGATGTCAGGTTTATTTGGACAGGATAGTTTACCATGCCTTAGTCCTTGCTGCTTATCAGCAATCTTACTTGCCCTTTTTAGAGTTTCTAGAAGGTTTTAGATTTTTTTTCCTAATGAAAATAGCATTTTTTTTCCTCTGGAATGCAACGATATATAGGTAGTCCTTTAACAATATTATTTTAATTTATCATTTCAAATAAGTGAACAAGGTTTTATTTACAGATAAGAAAATGGAACAAGAATGACTTTATGGAACTTGAGTTTTTATCTGTATTATTCTCTATTGCATATTCAAAACACACAGTTTGAAAGCTATTTATTTCCATGCACACTCCAGATTAAGTGACATGAAAATGCCCGAGTTTCAATGCGGACATGTCCAGTTTCCAACTGGAAAGCATTTTGAAGCATCCAAGGATTGTCCCCTAATTCCACAACCCCGGGGCACTTGCACCCGTTTGGAGCTTCCCAGACTGCTGAGGCATTCCCAAAGGAACAGATTCCTGCTCACATTCCCTCTGGAATTAAGCAGCGAACCCCCCTTTCACCCAGAGGGTGAAATTGGTGGCTCGTCCCTTCTGCCCTGCTACGGCAAACAGCTTTGCAGGAGAGAACATGGATTTTCAGTCTCCCCCGGCATTACTCCTCCAGGCTTATTCTCCGCAGGGATCCTGCTGTGCTTGCAGTATATGCTCTGTCTCGTTCGTTGAGCCTACGGTGCCTCACAAAAAAATGATCCACACATTCTTGTTTTGTTTTAATTTAGCATTTGACATGCCTGATAGAAAAACATATCCCTGAATGTGGGTAAGCCAGCTTGCAGAACATCTGAAGCAGAACTCTT